TCTTCCTCCTCTTTTCCCCCCCCCACCCCGAGGCTGCAGCCGGGTCAGGTCCCTCAGGAGGCTCCTGCAGGAGGGACGTTCCCCCAGGGCTTACTGGTGGCACTGGGAGATCAGGAGCCCCAGGTCCCTGCACGAGGGCTCAGGCAACTGCAGCTTCTGCTCGTAGAAACGTTCCTTCTGACCCCCAAAAAAACCCCAAAAAGGACATTTCAAGAGCTTGGATCCATCTAGGAGGAGGTTCCTCCCATGGAGACACCAGAAGAACCTCAGGTGGCCCCTCTTTGGGTCCCACACCCCCCTACAACAGTTGGGGTGGTGGGATCTCAGGGGGCTTTGGGTGGGAAGGACCTCAAGGATCCTGGTCCACCAAGGACACCTCCCAGCAGCCCAGGTGGCTCCAACCTGCCCTCGGGCACTTCCAGGGGTGGAGGAACCACCTTGAAGACCATCTAGGGGAACATCCAGGGGGTCTTCAAGGTCCCTTCCAACCCAAACCATCCCATGATCTGAAGATCATCCAGTCCCACCCATTGCCATGAGCAGGGACACCTCCCACCAGCCCAGGTGGCTCCAACCTGCCCTCGGGCACTTCCAGGGGTGGAGGAACCACCTTGAAGACCATCTAGGGGAACATCCAGGGGGTCTTCAAGGTCCCTTCCAACCCAAACCATCCCATGATCTGAAGATCATCCAGTCCCACCCATTGCCATGAGCAGGGACACCTCCCACCAGCCCAGGTGGCTCCAACCTGCCCTCGGGCACTTCCAGGGGTGGAGGAACCACCTTGAAGACCATCTAGGGGAACATCCAGGGGGTCTTCAAGGTCCCTTCCAACCCAAACCATCCCATGATCTGAAGATCATCCAGTCCCACCCATTGCCATGAGCAGGGACACCTCCCACCAGCCCAGGTGGCTCCAACCTGCCCTCGGGCACTTCCAGGGGTGGAGGAACCACCTTGAAGACCATCTAGGGGAACATCCAGGGGGTCTTCAAGGTCCCTTCCAACCCAAACCATCCCATGATCTGAAGATCATCCAGTCCCACCCATTGCCATGAGCAGGGACACCTCCCACCAGCCCAGGTGGCTCCAACCTGCCCTCGGGCACTTCCAGGGGTGGAGGAACCACCTTGAAGACCATCTAGGGGAACATCCAGGGGGTCTTCAAGGTCCCTTCCAACCCAAACCATCCCATGATCTGAAGATCATCCAGTCCCACCCATTGCCATGAGCAGGGACACCTCCCACCAGCCCAGGTGGCTCCAACCTGCCCTCGGGCACTTCCAGGGGTGGAGGAACCACCTTGAAGACCATCTAGGGGAACATCCAGGGGGTCTTCAAGGTCCCTTCCAACCCAAACCATCCCATGATCTGAAGATCATCCAGTCCCACCCATTGCCATGAGCAGGGACACCTCCCACCAGCCCAGGTGGCTCCAACCTGCCCTCGGGCACTTCCAGGGGTGGAGGAACCACCTTGAAGACCATCTAGGGGAACATCCAGGGGGTCTTCAAGGTCCCTTCCAACCCAAACCATCCCATGATCTGAAGATCATCCAGTCCCACCCATTGCCATGAGCAGGGACACCTCCCACCAGCCCAGGTGGCTCCAACCTGCCCTCGGGCACTTCCAGGGGTGGAGGAACCACCTTGAAGACCATCTAGGGGAACATCCAGGGGGTCTTCAAGGTCCCTTCCAACCCAAACCATCCCATGATCTGAAGATCATCCAGTCCCACCCATTGCCATGAGCAGGGACACCTCCCACCAGCCCAGGTGGCTCCAACCTGCCCTCGGGCACTTCCAGGGGTGGAGGAACCACCTTGAAGACCATCTAGGGGAACATCCAGGGGGTCTTCAAGGTCCCTTCCAACCCAAACCATCCCATGATCTGAAGATCATCCAGTCCCACCCATTGCCATGAGCAGGGACACCTCCCACCAGCCCAGGTGGCTCCAACCTGCCCTCGGGCACTTCCAGGGGTGGAGGAACCACCTTGAAGACCATCTAGGGGAACATCCAGGGGGTCTTCAAGGTCCCTTCCAACCCAAACCATCCCATGATCCCATGAAGTTCTTCCCTCTGAGGGTGGGGAGACCCTGGAAGGGGCTTCTCAGAGAAGTTGGGGATGATGGAAGTGTCCAAGGGCAGGTTGGAGCCACCTGGGCTGCTGGGAGGTGGCCCTGCCCATGGTGGGGGTTGGATCTAGATGATCCTGAAGGTCCCACCAACCCAACCCATAATCCCAGGACCTTCTGAATTGGGGCTGGGGAAGGGAAGTCACCTCAGAAGGAGTCCTCTCCTTGAGGGGCACGTCAGCATCGAAGCAGATCTCCAGCAGGGTGGTCCCAAAGCTCCACTTGTCCCCAGCTGTGCTCAAGTTCCTCGTGTCCTTCAGACATTCCGGGGCGATCCAAGGGATCCGATCCACACGTTCTTGGGGAGAAGGGAAAGTGAAGGTGGTGGAGGAGGAGGAAGGTGGGAACAGAAGAAGGTTTTGGACACTGTGTGATCTTCACAGCTCAACTAGGTGAGCCAGAAGGACCTGGAGAGGATGGAGAGTTGGGTGGTGGAACCTCCTGAGGTTCTCCAAGGGGTTCAACCCAAGGAGGAACAACCCCCAGGGAATAGAAGAAGGTTTTGGACACTGTGTGATCTTCACAGCTCAACTGAGTGAGCCAGAAGGACCTGGAGAGGTTGGAGAGTTGGGTGGTGGAACCTCCTGAGGTTCTCCAAGGGGTTCAACCCAAGGAGGAACAACCCCCAACAGGGAATAGAAGAAGGTTTTGGACACTGTGTGATCTTCACAGCTCAACTGAGTGAGCCAGAAGGACCTGGAGAGGTTGGAGAGTTGGGTGGTGGAACCTCCTGAGGTTCTCCAAGGGGTTCAACCCAAGAAGCAACAAGGTCCCACAGGGAATAGAAGAAGGTTTTGGACACTGTGTGATCTTCACAGCTCAACTGGGTGAGCCAGAAGGACCAGGAGAGGATGGAGAGTTGGGTGGTGGAAGCTCTTGAGGTTCTCCAAGGGGTTCAACCCAAGGAGGAACAACCCCAGGGAGCAGCACAGGGTGGGGGGACCTGCTGGGGAGCAGCTCCATGGAGAAGGACCTTGGGATCATGGTGGCCAAGAAGTGATCCATGAGGGATCAACGGGCCCTGGTGGCCAAGAAGGCCCATGGGCTCCTGGGGGGCACCAAGGAGAGTGTGGGCAGGAGGGCAGGGAGGTTCTCCTGCCCCTCTGGTGAGGGCCCATCTGGAGAAGTGGGTCCAGGGCTGGGCTCCCCAGAAGGACAAGGAGCTGCTGGAGAGGGGACAGCAAAGGCCACCAAGGGGCTGAGGGGACTGGAGCATCTGGCCCATGAGGAAAGGCTGAGGGAGCTGGGGCTGTGGAGCTGGAGAGGAGGAGCCTGAGGGGGGGTCTCCTCAAGGCTGCTCCAGATCTCCAGGGGGGCAGGAGGGGGGGACCAGGCTCTTCTCAGCAGTGAATGAGTCCATGAAGGTCTCCATAAGGTTGGACCTGATGATCTCTAAGCTCTTCCCCAACCCAAAGGAGCCCATGAAGGCCCCCAGATGGTTGGACCTGATGATCTCCAAGGTCTTTCCCAACCCAACCAAGTCCCTGAGTCCATTGATCCCCATCCCTGGAGGTGCCCAAAGCCCTGGAGATGGTGCTGAGGGACCTGGTTGAGCAGTGGACTTGACTGAGTTGGGTTGGATGGTTGGACTTGATCTCCAAGGTCTTTCCCAACTGGACTGAGTCCATGAGGGTCCTCATATGGTTGGACCTGATGACCTCCAAGCTCTTCCCCAACCCAACCAAGTCCATGACTCCATGAATCCCCATCCCTGGAGGTGCCCAAAGCCCTGGAGATGGTGCTGAGGGACCTGGTTGGGTTGGATGGTTGGACCTGATGATCTCCAAGGTCTTTCCCAACTGGACTGAGTCCATGAAGGTCTCCATAAGGTTGGACCTGATGATCTCCAAGCTCTTCCCCAACCCAACCAAGTCCATGTGGAGTCTCCAGTGGTGGAGCCTCCACCTCTGGACCCACCCAACCCCACCCCATGGCCACCCCCATGTGGCCACATCTGCTCTGGGTCCCCCTGCTCTGCTGGGAGGTGGAACTGGGGGGATCTCCAGAGGTTCCTTCTCATCAGGATGGGGTTGGTACCTTCTCTGGAGAGCACAGTGAAGCTGACACCAGGATCACTGAGCTTGATGAAGGGAGCTGATCCCTCTTCCAACCCTTTCCTGGCCACCAGGAGGTTCTTGGCACAGACATTTCCATGGACCAGGTTTTTATCCTCCTGTGGGAAAAGAAGGAGAAACCTGGAGGAGAAACCATCATCTCCAAGGTGACCTTTTGAGGACCAAACTTCAAGTTCATGGGAGGAGAACGAGGAACCGAAGAAGAAGGTTCCGAGATCGACGTCACCTCCTGGTGGTTCCACCTCCTGGATTTTCCCAAAGGAATTGAGGAGAAGGATTATCCAGGATTGGGATGAAGATCTGGAGAAGCAGGAGGTCCACCTGCTCAACCTGCTGGTGGGTGGAGCTGGGGAAGGAAGGTCCATCATTCCCAGGTGGAGGGAAGCGAAGCTACGGAGTCGGGATCCGGGGGGAAGGTGGGAAGGAGGAGCAAGGAAGGGTTTGGTGGGACATAGGGATGGAATTTCCTCCTGGAATTCCATTGATCTCCTTGGAGGGTAGAGGAGAAGTGGGAAGAGGGAGTGAGGAGGGACCTGGTGGGACACAGGGATGGAATTTCCTCCTGGAATTCCATTGATCTCCTTGGAGGGTTGAGGAGAAGTGGGAAGGAGGAGCAAAGAAGGGTTTGGTGGGACAAAGATTGGGAATTTCCTCCTGGAATTCCATTTGTCTCCTTGGAAGGTTGAGGAGAAGTGGGAAGAGGGAGCAAGGAAGGGTTTGGTGGGACAAGGATTGGGAATTTCCTCCTGGAATTCCATT